TTGCGCAAGGTGAGGTTGAGGTTGGAGCTGAGGGACAATTTCTTGCCCTGGAGGGTTGCCCAGGGCAGTGGTGGAGTCCCCACCCCTGGAGGGGTCTCCAAGCCGTGGAGATGTGGGGTGAGGGACACGGGGCAGTGGGGACCTGGCAGGGCTGGGGTCAGGGTTGGACCTGATGACCTTGAAGGTCTTTTCCCACCAGACTGATTCTATAAATCTGCAAGAGAGCAGCTGTCTGGTGACTGCTGGAATTTGCACCAACTGCCCCAACCCCCTTATCTGTAAGGTATAAACTACTGCTGAAGGCTTTTAAGAGCAGCCTGTGCCAGAGGACAAGAGGCTGCAAGGTCTCTCTCCAAGGAAGGAGGAGAGCAAGGAGGTGCAGAGCCAAGGAATCACGAGGAGACTGGAACTGCTGGGCTGCTAGAAGACAGCAGCAGCATGGAATTCCTCGTGCCACACAGCAACCTGCCACTGCCTGAACTGTGCTGAGCAACTGCTGCAAGCCAGGGGCCAAATTTGGCTGGTCTGCACCTTCCACCCATGGGAGAAGATGTTCCCATCCAGTTTCACCAGCAACAGCCTCACAGGTTCTAAAACTCAGCAGGTCTCAACTCTCTGGGTAGCAGCACTGGTCGAGTGAAATGTTTAAAGGACTGAGACGAAGCTTCAGGTTGCAACCCCCATTTCAGCATCACCTCTGGAAAGGAGAACGTTGGATATCTGCTGGGCCCATGCACGAGTCCTGTGCTGCCCCAAAAGCAGCTCCCCAGCTGCAGCTCCCTCACAGAGACACCAAACCTGGGTGCACCACGCAGGCACCCACCTCTCGACCACGTCTTGGAGTTGGGAGCTCCCAGAGGAGGAGAAATGCAAAGGATGGGGATGAAAACCCCCCACCCTCTGCAGCCCTGCACCCTCCTTGGTGTATGAAGGCCAAATCCTGAGCTCCACAGCTCCTGCCCAGGTTTCTCACAGCGGGCAGTGCTCGTGGGCAGCTCTGACTCCCTAGCACACGGTGAGGGGAGAGACATCTCAGCAGCCCTGGCCCATCTTTCACACCGAGCTTCCTCACCGTGGAGGGACAGATGGACTCCCCCTAACACCAAGACGTGGCCCTCAGGGGGCAGGTGTCCCAGTTTCTTGGCCGTGTGTTACAAGGCTCAGCCCAGCAGCAGCCCAATGGCAGAAAATGTCTTCTGAAGACAGCAGAGCTATGGGGATGGCCTCAGAGCAGCGCTGAGGTCTTTGGAACTGCAATCTAGGCTGCTCAGACTCAGAGATTGGGGTCCCCTGCCCCACACTCAGATGCCACGGGTGCTGCTGGAAGCCCTCGGAGCACGTGGTGCCTTGGTACAGCACCATCCCTGCATGACAACAGCCATCAAGGAACAGCCATGGCCTTCACCTCTACCTGGAGGTTGGTTATTTTGGCAAACCAGATCCTCCCTCTCCGATATGCACGTGCTGCAGTGTGGACAGGGCAGGATTAGTGCCTTGGGTGACTGCAGAGGGCAAGCAGGGCGTGCAGAAAGCAGGGCTGCAGAGGCTGGCATCACAAAATCCACAGTTGTCCCCATCTTGTGGGGTCTATTCACTCAGGCTGTGTTTGTTTTTGTAGTGAGGTGATGACCCCAGACTCTCTGGAGTCACACGTGCTGCAGCCTGGCTGGGCACAGAGCACGTGTGTGCCCCAGGTTTATGGGGAGGAGGTCTGGCTCACCTTGCCCATGAGCCTCCAGGCCTCGGGAGAACTCCTCGAAGCAACAGGAGGTTAGAAAAGATGAGCACGTCCAGCACAGGGGGATGAACGTGTGTGATGTTTGATATCAAAACTCCCCCAAGATTACAGCCACGCTCGGGCTCCTCCAGCTCCCATCCCAGGGCAAACGAACGGCTCAGAGATGGCTAAAACTTCATGGCATTTTTTTTTCTTCCCCACAGGCATTTTCCTACTGCTTCTGAGCAAAATGAAATGAAAGAATAAGGGCAATGGCTCTGATGTCTTCCTGTCCCACGCAAACATCAAAAACCTACAAGACAATGAACTCCAGGCTCTTTTCTTTGGAGATGCTGGGCAAACACGGTCCCTCCCTGCCCACCACGAGTAACCTGCTGTCTCCTCCACAAAGCCCATGGGTTCTCTAGGAGCACAACAACGGCACAGTCCTTTTGAAGAAATGCATTTCAACAGAAGGCTGCTCATTTCCCTGCAGCTTTGTGTTTTACCTGATGATTGGCCCATCAGATTTTGAGCTTCTTCGGAGGAATGTAAGGGCAGCTTTTCTCCTGAAGAGCAAAGAAGAAACAGGTTTAATGCTTTTGCCTTCGAGGAGATAAGCAATGTCACTTCATCTAGGAAGCTCAAAATATGATGAACACACGTCAGTAAAAGGCATTTCCAACCTTTGGCCACCAAGTAAGCAAAGGTGCTTTAAGTATCTCCATCCCCTGCGCTCTATCTGCTTCCCGGGTCGCCGTGGAACGCATCACCTTGCCACGCCAGCCTGGGGGACCAGGCTGCTCAGCCACGCCACGGCTGCCTGTCCTCCCAATCCAGGTGACTCCCCGAGGCCGTGGCTCCATCCCGGTGTGGGGGGCTGGGGGAGGTGCCATCCTGCCCAGCTCAGCACCTCTCCCCGTCGACACCCCCCCCCTTCCCCGGGGCAGCATCCCCGGCCGGCCGGCGCTCAGCCGTTCCCCCTGGGAAACGCGGGGATGTCCCACGGAGGTCTGGATCAGCACGTGGCAGGGGATGCTGCCTCCTCAGAGGGGGGAGAGGGGGGGGAGGCTGGCCCCCCGTGCTTCTGCTGGGCAAGCCAGCAGAGCTGGGGGCGAGGCAAGGAGAGGCGTGCACGAGTCACGGCTGAACGCTCGCCCAGGGGGGCCGTAACCCCCCAAAACTCCTCCTGTCTCCCTGCCAACCTTTTCCCGTGGACATTGCAACTTCAGTTCTCCTCGCCCCTGCTCGCTTCCATTAAATAGCATGAGTTTAGAAAGAGAGAGAAACTCTACAGGTAAGAAGAGAAGGAGATCTAGAAAGGGCGTGTGGGTACGTACCAGGGAAAGCGGGGGTGGTCTGTCCAAGGGGAGTAAAGGGGGTTTGCTGCATAGCCAACTGGTGGAGCTTGGTCAACTGCTGAGGGGTAGGAGGGACATTAGAGCTAAGAAGGTTATTGTTATAGAGTACAACAAGTCACACCGAAAATCAAGAACAAAATTATAACGGAAGGGAAAAAGAAAAGAAAAAAAAAAAAAGAAAAGAAAAAACGGGGGGGGGAAAAAAAAAAAACCAAACCTAAACCAGGTAGCCATGGTGAGACATGGCAAAACCATTAGCAGAAGGACTTGGCCTGGGTCAAATGCAATAAAGCCCAAATCTTTTGCAGAAGTGCTTGGTCAGGGTCTGAAGTACGATACCAGCAAGAAGCCCATTCTCACTTTCCACCCCTGGGCCAAATGGTTCCATCTCCTTCGCCACGAGCCGTCGGCGCTTCCAGCCCCCTCCTGGGCTTTGCAACTTGTGACCAGAGGCTGCCGCCGGCTTCAGGCTGGCTTTAGAGCAGAGAGGCCACCTCAAAGGCACCGCCAGGCTGGTGGCCACCAGTTGCCAGCAGCCAGAAGAGCCTCTTCGTGCTGCCGGAGCCGCATCGTGACCGCTTGCCCCCCGCAGCAAACGCTCCCGTGCCGTGACTCTTGGTGGGAAAAGCCTTTGGGAGATGGACAAGACTGCAGCTCTTGGCATCTTAGGAGGTGCAAAACCCCTCCCAGCAGCGTGGGGAAATATGGGAAATATGGGCTTTGGCCGTGACCAGTAGGTATTTCAGATCCTTCTATCCCTTGTTGTGCCCGCTGGGTTTTCGTGCCCGCTCAGGGAGCGGTGGCACAGAGAGGAGTTTGTTTGGAATACATTTTGTGCTCTGTTTCGCTGCCCCAAATTAACAAAAGAAATAATAACAAAACAAAACCACAAAGGATGAAACGAAAGAAAATGAACCAAACTGGGCTGAAGTCTAGCAGTTGAGCTGAAGGGTCTTTATCAGTCAGCTCAGCCGTTTCGTAGGTGCTCAGAGGGTTGCCAGGATCACACCAGGCCCTAAAAAACCCACTTGTTGCACCCACCTCCTCCCAAGGGAGGAGGGGGAGGCAGAAGTTGTGATTTCTGTGGTTTTGGGGGAAATGATACTCAAAAAAAACCCCTCCTTGCTCCTGCAGTGTGGCTGGGGAGGGAGCGTGGGGAGGTCTGGCCAGCAGTGGCGAGGGGCAAGCGCCGGAGAGAGAACAGACCTGGGGGGGCTGAGCACAGCAGGGGGAGAGACTGGAGGGGGGCAGAAGGGAGAGGAAACGCCTGCAAGTGCCCAGAGGGGTACCCGAGGGAGCCCAGCCTGGCAGAGGCCCCAGGACCCCCCCTCCTTGGCTTCTGCTGGCTTCAGAGAGAGGTCCACGTGTCTCCCTGCACGACAGCAAACGAGCCCAACACGTGCCACGAAGGCTCCCTGCAGAAGCACAGTCAACTCTGGATCAGTCCAGCCACACCACCTCTCCTGCAGGTACCAGGGATGCCAGGATCTGCCACTTTTAATTTAAGAACTACACCATTTTCTATCAGATTTAACCCAGGCACGCTCTGTTTGCAGAACTCGTTAGCACCAGTTAGGACTCTGGATGAAAGGTCCCGTGCCTTTGCTGGCACTGCTGAGGAGCATCAGTCTTGCCTGATGGCCAAAACACCAAAATCCTTTCCAATACTGATCAAACATATTTTTTTAAGACATGATTTGGATAGTGGTATTCAGCAAACGCCCAAGATAACAGCAATAAAACAAGCTCACGAGAGGAGAGGGGGGCAGTGCACAAAACCTGCTCCCTGGAAAAAGCTGAGAGCAAAAACCTGAGAGCAGGTCTTCAGACTTTAGTTTTCCACCCGAATCAGAGGGGAGCTCCCCCTCTGACAATGCTGGAAGACACAGGGCAGGACAGGAGGTCCAGGACCAACCTGCAGCCGTGCTGAGCATCACCAGGTAGCCAGAGCAGAGCCTGGGTTACATCTCACACAGAGCCAGGAGTGATGCCCTGGTTTGGGAGCTTTCATGCCCTTGGTATTTATTTCAGTCACAGTCCTGACTGCCACAAATGTCCTTTCATCTCCACCGTAGACCTCAGGAACTCAGCTCATGAACACATCACACCCCAAACAGCTTACAGGGACCTGGGCAATGCTGAAGCTCTTCACGAGCCAAAACTCCCACTGCCCTGAGGGTTTTTCCCTGAGGAGAAAACCAGGGCAGGGGCTTGCCTTTTAACTTAAGCATTGGAAATCCTTCCTGCTTCTCAGCCACGGGTCTGCAAAAGGCATCCACTCCAGATAAACACCTCTGAGAGCAAGGGCAATGCTCTGAAATCCCCCTCCAAGACTGGATTCTGCACCGAGCAGGGTTTCAAATGACCCATCTTTGTGAGAGAGCTACAAGAGCAAGGACAGAGCTCGTGGCTCTGCTGGGAACAGGGCAGAGCACAGCCAGAAAACCTATTAAATGTGTTTCATTCGTGTTAAATAACAAGGAAAACACTCTCAGGGCTCACCGCCACTTGCAAAGGGAAACTGGGACAAAGAATGCATTGATCTACCCTAAATACATGGATGTATTGACTTCTATTCCACTTAGGGGGGGTCAAAGTGAACTCCACACCATTAAGAATATTTCTCAGCACCCAAAATTAAGCCTGGAGAAGACTTTCCACCCAAACCACCCCACCTAGAATTAAGCCTGGAGAAGACTTTCCACCCAAACCACCCCACCTAGAATTAAGCCTGGAGACGACTTCACACCCAAGCCCAAGCCACCCCACCTAGAATTAAGCCTGGAGAAGACTTTCCACCCAAACCACCCCACCTAGAATTAAGCCTGGAGAAGACTTTCCACCCAAACCACCCCACCTAGAATTAAGCCGCGTGCCCAGAGCGACTCCCAGCGCCGAGGGGTCTCTGCAGTGGGACTCACCAGGGATTTTTCTCCCCTCTGAAATGCTTTTTGGGAAACACCAAGACCCTTCCCCAAGAGCTCCCTGGCGCGTGGCAGCCGTCACGACCCCAGAAGCTGAGCAGCTACCAGAGAAACTCTGCTTTTCAGAGAAACCCTTCAAAACAGACTCATCTTCTATTCCTTTTAGCAGTCAGACACACAGAGAGCAAATTTTCCCTGCAAATCCCCCTCCCTCCCCCCAACATTTTAAGGACGAGGGTGAAATAGAGAGGGAAGGATGTTTTTTTTTCCTCCTTATCTTTGCACGTTTTGGGTCATTTGGAGGCACAAAATGCATCGAGCGTGGTTTGTCTCAGAACCAAGGGATAGCACTGAGCAATCCAGATAATTTAGCATCAGGCCAAGTCCTCAGAATGAATCAAGTTTAGTGCTGAGAGGTTAAAAGGCTAATGAAGGTATTACAGCTACGACACACGGCCGGTCGACGTGGCGAACGGGCTATTAATATTATTGCTTAATATTAATATTATGTGAATTAACAGTAGCATGCAGGTGATGTAAAAGGGGAGAAGAATTAAAAAAACGAGGGTAAAACTCACATCCGGGTGTGGAATTGCGTATTGTCCCTGAATTGTATAGGCCTGAAAAAGGAGAAAGAAAAACCAGATTATTAAGGGTTGGCAGGAGATGGCTCCAAAGCCTCACGCAGGGTACTCTTGGCCCCCAGGATTTGCCCCTTTCTGCCTAACGGGGGGTGAAGGCTGGGAATGGAGGGGCTAAAAAGGAGCCCACCCCCCTTGCCCAGCTCTGCCCAGGACCCCCCTGTTCCCCCCAGATAACTGGGGGGGGCTGAGCCACCAGCACGCCCCTCCCCTTGCTGTGCTGCTGGGAAAAGTGGGGTGCAGGAGGTTGGAGTTTTAATTCACCAGCTTAATTTTGAGGCTGGAGGGGAGGAGAAAAACCCCTTTCCATGCAGCAAGCAGTTGCCCCATGCACCCCCTTGGTTAGCCCCACATTAAATCCCCCGGGGGCAACAAGTCTTGGGGGGCAGGAGGGACACGTACCCCTCCAATCAAACCTGGAGCAAATCTACATTTAAAGGCTTAAACTTAATTTGGCTTCCCCAAAAGGAAGAAAACAGCTCTTTAAAGATGCCAGAACTGCATGGAGCAGGAATATAAGGTGGTGACGGGGCTTTGCAGCCCAAAAAAGACACCTCAGAGCAGGATTATCTGGGTAGGGGATCCACAGTAACATCCCCACTGCCCTTCACACCTCAATGTGACCCTAAAAAGCCACTCAGAGCACTGAGTCTTTTATTTTTTGCCAGGCAAACTGTTTAGTGGGGTTTTTTTTCCCCCCATCGTTTGCAGCAATCCCAGAGAGCCCCATATTTAGGACTTAACCGCCTAGCAAAACCTCTCTCCCTGGTTAGAGACATTATTCAGATGATTCTGAAAGAAATGACAACAGAGATGGATAATATTTTACAAAGGGAGAGTAAAGATAGCCAGGAAAAAAAAGGGGGAAAAAACCCCCCACACCTCTGAGCTTCCTCCAAATTTGCCACGTCGTTTGCAAATAAAAAGCCAAAGCATTTTGTGTGAGGAACAGCCCCAAAATCGTGGAGGAGAAAAGAGGCAAAGCCCTGCCCAGAGAAATGCCAGTCCCAGTGCCTGCTGGCAGCCCAGCCCCGTGGGGCAGAGGTGGCTCTAAGAAGCTCAATCTTTCCTGGAGGTTTCATTGGGTTTGTTGGTTTTTTAATTAGGAAAAAAAGCAAATTAAAGGCAGGAAGGTGTCTTGGACAGATGCAACCCACCCCTGAGGGCACCTGCTGGTGGGAATCCAGCTCGCTGCAGGGGCTGCACATGGACAAGAGGGTTGATCCCATCCAAGCTCTGATTTCAGAAGCAGTAGCTTCTTCCCATGATGTGACTTCTGTCCAAGACACCAACCCTTTGCTACCTCCATCTTACTCTCCCTTTGGAGAAGATAAGTTCACCAAGCAGCTGGACTCAAAGCTCTTTTCCAGGACGGCTGCTCAGGCCAAATGACACGTTCCTCCTGATGGCAGAGATGACTAAGAGATGCTAATTCAGCACGCTGCCCAAAATAGCCTCTGCTCTGGGCTTTGCTCTCATCCTTAGTTTGTCCTTCTGCTGTTTCTGAGGGTTGGGGAGAAATGAAACATGGAGCTGCTCGGAATGGCATCAGCTGCAGCTTCACCCTGGCTGTGAGAGCCCCTGGGAAGCGTTTCTCCCACTGGTGGACCTCCAGATGGTAGCATCTGGATGGTCTGTAGATGGTGGCATCTACAGACAGGTCACCAGGTGAGGTCAGTAGATGAGGTGGAAGAAGCACGGGTTCAAATCCTCCTCTTAAAAGCAGCTACCTGCTCAACTGCTCTCTTTTCATGGATCACGTGCCATGGGAAGTGATTTTCACCTGCAGAACAACCACCAGCCCCCACGGCACGGCCAACGGGGACCTTGAGAAGATAAAACCTGCCACTGCTTCCCAAGGGTCAGCAGAAACACCACGTGGTGACAGCAAGCCTGTAGAGCAACCACTGGGCATTGCCACCAAAGGTTGTCTGTGGGCAAGAGATGAGCCCCACCAGAGCTTGTGGCCTTTTTTGGGGGAGGCAACACGCCAAGCTGACCAAGCACCAGCAATGGGGAGGAGCCTTTCGTGGGGGCTGCCCTGAAGAGAGGCTCAGCGTGGTCCTGGAGGGGCTGGGATGAGCTTTTCCTATCTCAGCTCCACTACGACCACTCAAAGTGATTTTTAACAGGACTAGAGATGCTACAAGACAAAGACCTGTAGCCACCATGAGGTGTGTGAGGCCCCATCCCTGGGGGTCTTTAAGGCCAGGCTGGAGGAGGCTCTGGGCAGCCTGATCTAGTGGGAGGTGTCCCTGCTCATGGCAGAGGGGTTGGAACTGGGGGATCCTTGTGGTCCCTTCCAACCCTGACAGATCCTGATCTGTTTTAGCAGAGGACTTGGTGGTGTTGGCTTGATGGTTGGACTTGATGATCTTAAAGGTCTCTTCCAACCTAAAGGGCTCTATGATTCTATCCCCTTGCCTCAGCGGGGGCTTTTCCTCCTCACTTTTCTCCTCCACACTGTTGGCAAACGCTAACTTTGGGTCTAACCAAGCAACCCTCCAACCTCCCCTGGATGCACCAGCGACGGTGCTCTCAACGACGACG